AGCGGCCGGCACCAGTCACCGATGAAGCAAAAAGTGCGGCAGACACGACAGGGCAAGTGTCTTCGTGTGGTCAACGTGTCACCTCTTTTGGGGACCGAGGGGCGCGCCGCCTATGCCAGCGTCCTCAGGGAGGTGCTCCCAAAAGTGCAAAAAGAGGTAAAGCCACAGGTTGCCCTGCGGCTGAAGGTGACCTACAAAAGTTTTAGGATAGCGAAATGGCTACTGCGCTAACGTTTCCCGTGTGTGTAGCGACACTCAACGCATGTGGATTGAGGAATGTAAGGCGTCAGTGGCAGTTGCGCCACGTGCTTGAGCAGTACAACATTGATGTAGTGGCAGTGCACGAGACTAAGATTTCGGCTGCTCGTGACACCAATCTCGCCCTGCAATTTTTCAAGAATACAATTCATACAACAGCCCAACACGTGGTGCATCAGCTGGATGCTTTTTATTATTTAGAAAGCACTTGAATCATACTTTGACGTCACTACGCGTTGATGAGGAAGGACGCCTCCTTTGTTTTGACTTATCTTGTCATTCCCAGAATGGAAGGTTTATCTGTGTCTATGCTCCTTCTAAAGTGAAAGACAAAAACGCTTTTTTCCTCTCTTCAATTTCGCTGCTAAACTTTAATAGAACTTTGATAGCTTTTGGAGACATTAATTGTGTTTGTGACGTGCGAGATAATTCTTATATAACAAATCGTTATCATGCAAGTGCAACTTTACTGCAGAGAATATTGAATGACCACAATTTAATAGATCTTAGAGCGCATGCACCTTCCTCGAGAGGTTTACGCACTTTCAAGGCATCTCTCATGCTTCGCAGGACCGTGTGTATGTATCTCTAAGCCTATGGTATCACATTTATAGTTACGCTGTAAAGCCTATATTCTTACAGACCATTGCTTGGACACCGTTTCTTGGGGTCCTGAAAATTTTCGTGAAACCGTTCTATACTTGGACCTATGGAAGCTTAACGTACAGTTGTTGCGCAAAAATTGTTTTGTTAAAATAGTAGAAGAATCAGTACAAGAGGTAACAGAGCGTCGACAGCTGCCAATTTTAGCTCAATGGGAAAGGTTAAAAAAAGAGTTAAGTATCAGGCAATTAGTACTTTATGAGGAATAGCGCAAAAAAAAAGCTGAAAACTCTATCTTTATAATTTACTTCATAAGCTCCATACTTTTGAAAGTCAACAGCCAGGATTGTACGCGGATGAGATAACTGTGATTCGAGAACAGATATAAAAACACGATACAGATTCATACAAAAGAAAATATTCGTTACCATGTTACCCATTTCACTTAAAAGGAACCTACTAAAACATCCCTAGGGGATGAACAGAGATATGCACTTTCTAAACAGATACTGCAAATGGAGTCGCTGGGTTCTCTTTGGTCAGAGACAAGTGAAATAAGAACCGCATTTGAGGATTATTACAAAAGTTTGTTCACCGCGGCTGAGCCGCAGAAGAATTCCGAGGGAGAACCTGACCACTTCATTGCCCTTGTGCTTCAGTTACAAGATGATGATAGACTCACTGTATATATCCCCATAACCAGAGAGTAGATTAGATTTGCAATAACAACGTTGCAGATGAACAAAACTCCTGGCCGAGATGGCCTTAATGGCGAATTTTACATAGCATTTCAGGAGCTTCTGATATCTTTCATTCAGCAAATTTTTAAAGAGGCTTATGAACTTGGTGAACTTTCTCCTTCTTTCTATTAGGGTCGATAAACATGTTTCTCAAAAATTGCTGATCTTGAAGTTTTAAAGAGAGTTGACGAATAAATGCCTATATCGTGATGTAACGTTGACTACAAGATATTTGCTAAATTTTTGACAAATCAGCTACAGACAGTGATTACTAAATGTGTAAGTGACCACAAAACATTTGGAATTCGCGGTCGCTCTATACAGACAAACGTTCATATTGCACGTTAAGTTCTAGAGTGTATTGATGGGAGCATGGACCAAGTAGCCCTCCTTCAAATAGACCTTGCTAAAGCTTTTGATAAGGAACAGCATGCTTTTTTGGTTGCGGCTCCTAAGACACCTGCAGCTGGGTGGTGTACTGTACAATGGTATTTCACTCTGCTATAAGAAGTGCACAACCAGGCTATTGGTAAATCGCACACTTTCCAAAATAATATAGTTAATTTCATCTGTACGTCAGGGATGTCCGCTCTCGCCTTTGCTTTTTGCAATTTATGTGGAACCATTATGTTTAAGCTTGCTTCTAAAGTCAAGCATAAGAAGCTACCGATATGATGCTGAGGAAGTTAAAGTTCTAGCTTATGTAGACGATTTTGCCTTCTTTTGTGCTGATAAATCCAGCGTTCAAGAAGCAGTCAACACTACTTTACGTTTCTTTGGAGTCGCTGGCGCCAGCAAAAGTTTTTATAGAAGTAGTGGATTCTGGCTAGGCATGTGGGCCCAAACTCTTTCGGGTTTCGCAAATGTTTATTGAACTGCGACTCCTATGAAGTACCTCAGTGTGCCTCTTGATAACTATCGTGACAGAGGCCCACACTGGACCGCTGCGATAACTACGATTCGCCGAAAGGTGGCAACATGGCACGGACTGGAGCTTTTATTTTTTGCAAGAGTGAAAGCGTGCAATATATTTCTACCATAAAAGCCTCTTTATCTTCTGCAGATGTTGCACTGCTCTTGTTTGCACATTTAGGCGTTTCATAGGATAGTTGCCTGGTTTATTTGGAGCTCTTCCTGGGAACCCGTGAGAACAGACAATCTTGTTCTTCGGATTGAAAAGGGTGGCCTTAGCCTTGTGCATTTGTTCGTGCGACAGTTGGTGTTGCGATTTGTTTTTACCTTAGGATGTTTGCCACCCCTTTCTTTTAGCGGCTCTTCGTAACCGTCTATGTTAGCACCTTCCTTTTATTGATGTCACAACAATTGTCGCAAAGAAATTGCTGTGGCGGGGATTCCTAAAATGAAGTGTTGATACTGCCAATTTTTTGAAAGCCACGTTTAGCTTAGAATATTTGTATACTATTGACAGAGCAAGTTTAACCACTGCACGTCTGAATAACCTTTTCCCCGAACCCGTTGATCGAAAGGCATATTCACTTTTGTGTGGTCATGATGTCCGTGTACGTCAAATGTGGATATCACCTTCAGCGAAAACATTTTTCTTTAAACTGCACACCTCCACGCTGCCAGTGAAAATGTGGCTGAATGGAAAATCAATATACGTACCCTGGACAGTGAATCGTAGACGCCGTAACCAACCTGAGACTATAGAGCACTGTTTTATTCATTGTCGTTAGGCTTTTTAATTACTTTCTAAAAAGAACAATAAGAACTTCCAATCACAACTCATGGTAATAGGTTACTCCCATTCAAAAAGAGTCTCACTGATAATACTCCTTACGACCTCTTTATGCTGTTGGGACTTTATTCACTATGGAAAAGTTGCATGATTGATAGACACGCCATGCCACCACGGTCGGCGAGATCCTTCTCCCGAGAAGCAGCTGCTCAAGGGCGCAGTGTTGTTGAGACTTTCGACCTCGTCCCGGAGTGGTTTCCGCTTCTTGACGCTTGTGTGGGTTTGCCTAACTTCTGTTGAAGTATGTTGTGTGTACTTCATTCGTTCACTGGTGATGATTTCATGCATTAAAAAAAAGTCGGCGTGGTGGAGTGGTAAGTGTGCTCAGTTGAAAATCTGAAGGTGGCAGGTTCGATTCCGCGCTGTCACGTCTTCTTTTTACGGGTGCTTTCTACATTGTTTTTATTCAATTACTTTTATAATTTCTTTTGTGGCAGCTCGTCACGATGGTTCTGACGCTGCTTCGCGCTCCAGAATTGCCGGCTGAAGCGAGCCATCCACCATCTGCTCCACCATACGCCACCATACACCATGTGCCACCAACATTTCCAGCACCATAATCCGCCAAAATGGTGATGGTGGAGTCCACCATTCCTATGATGGACGTTTTTTCAATAGAATGTGCAAAACATTTACACTATAAGGTACAGTGGGGCCGATTCCCCTTGTGGGCAGAAGCCAAGATCTTCTAGGTGACAAGACAAGACAAGAGCGCATGCCTGTGTTCCCCAGCGTTAGAGGCAGAGCAGCGATCGAGGCAGTTCTCGTCTGGACGTTCGATTCAGAGAACTCGTGGGCGTCCTTAGCATGCTGTTCTGTTCCTGGAATCCGGCTGCGTGACTGACCCAAGGACCAGGTGCTGCGCTGCTGATCTGGCTGCCGTTACTGACAGCTGGGAAACCGACGGACAAGGCCTGCAGCTTGACTGAGTCACTGGCGCAGGGTTCAAGCAAGGTGCCACGGCTCCCGCCGCCACCCAGATTGGTTGCCACTTCTGGTCTGCTGTGGACCGCTGCTCCGGCCGTCGTTCGAGCTGCCTGTCAGGACGCTGGTGTGCTGCTGGAACGAGCGCGGTGACTAGGGAGCTACCGCTACCGTACTATCACGGGAGAGGAAAATACAGCTGTGCCGTGGCGTTGACCGACTCACGCTGAGGACACCAGTGAGCCTGAGGTGCACCGTCCCAATTGAGCGGTGACCAAGAAGCCATGGGCAAACACGGCGAGAGAGTTTTAATTCACACGCGCGTTTAGAAAAGGACTGCACAGGACAGCCTTACCTTAACTTTAGCTAAGCGTTATTACCATTTCTATATTATCCTGTAAGTATATTTGTGTTTGTATGTGTGTGTGCACTCGTGAATTGATTTAATTGCTTGGCTGGTGGTCCTGGGCCCAACAGCAACTATGATATTTTGTGACACCCAGTATGACGTCAACTCCAAGAGTGAATGGGGTGTGCCTAAATATTTTTTTGCAAGCAGTACTGAAGATTTCAGGCAAGTTTGACAGAATGTAGAAACAAACTGTTAAGGGACTGTTGTAAGGGTCAAATAGTCTCGACTGGGATATCAAGGGTGCACAGTTTCACAGTTTCACTATGATCAATGCAAATTCGACACGTATACTTCTTTCGCTCACCTTCACGGTATCAGCAGTGTCATGACTCAGCTTCTGAGGACCGCCAGGGAGTCCAAGTTTCGTCAGCACTATCATGTTCAAAGAGAGAGAAATAAGAGCAAACAAGAATACCCTCGCCATGTTAGGTATGCGACGATGAAAACTTGAAACACCGCTCTGGTTCTAGCCTAAATTATTAGCTTGCGATTTTTACTGAAAGAGGAGAGAATGCCCAAGTAGTGCATGAAACCTGTGCAGCAGCAGAATAATATTCTTCGAAGCATTTTCTGTCAACTGGCATTCATTCTATTCATGGATCTGAAAGTGGCACGATGTAACTTCATTTTGACGTGACAGGTGTAATTATTCTGCCTAATGTTTTTTTGCAAGAGCCAGAAGCTTTATGTCATTCGCACTGACGCGGAACGTAACTCTAGCTTGACGTGTCTGTGCACAACAAATGATGACTGCACAAAAGGATGACAGGAGTGGCAGCCAAATAATACCTATGTAATACTGAAGTGAGGCTGTTTGAAGAGGGAGCAAGTGAAATCCTCATCTGACGAGTGTATTTCTGGAGTGTTTTGAACTGCTGTGGCAAAAGTAATTGCATAACGTGACTGTTACTTATTTTGTGAGGGCGAAGTATTTGATGAAGCTGAACCTATTGAGTACACTTATTGTTGTGTATGTCATTAGTGCCGCGAGTTGTCGGGGTTTACGAAATAAAGCTGTCGATATACAGTGAGTGATGCAAACATATCTTTACTTTTGTACGAAGTTTCATGTCTTTCGCTGCTCTCTAGAGCTATCAATGCTTTGCTCCTTACCTCTTCATCTACTGTGCTATGCTGTTAGACTAACCGTAGATGTAATTACTAGTGCTTCAACCTACTCCCGAATACGAACTACTAATATATTTTTTAGCATAAATTCATTTACTATTGAAACACCAACAAAATAGAATACATCCTAAATGGAGCGACAACCTGTCCTTTAGCAGTTAGAAAGCTTTCGCGTTTACTTTTTATGCCCTTCAATCACCCACGACTATATGCTCAATGCGGCACGCACATAGAAGCAGCCGATTAGTTCGCAGAACAGGAGCACGCAACCTGTCAGTTAAAAAGAAACATCAAAGGAGAAGTGGGATCACTCGAAATTAACAAAACTCCGGCACTCTGGGCACTTTGAAGGCAGAATGCAAAAATTGAGTGATACCAGAAGAAGTTAGAAGAAAATATAGGTGTTACAAGCATTGTCATTTAGAGCACTAAGCCGGCCTAAGCTGTAGAAGGTAACTGTTTGAAACAGCGCTCTTTTTTGCTAATTTAAATATGTACTTTCAAACTGTTAAGAGAAAGCCATGTGAGCTACGGTTCACGTAAACTTGAGAGCTGATAGGCTCTCAGGTGGTATTCTTTTCTGCCCAAAATGTGCAACAAAATCTTCTACTTAGAGACAGCGCAGCACCATACCATGCAATGACAAATTTGTTTCGGATGTATCTGCCAGACCATTCCCAACTGTATATTTCCAAGAACGCACGATAAATGAATCATTAAAAAAGAGATCTTGGGTGCAGACCAGCTGCCGATCACCTGCTGGTAGTCCAATTCCTCACCAGAGCACGATTGTCCACCCTGGTGTGGTACTTTGCCACTACCTCCGTTGTGAATTCACCGATAACCCTTGACCCTCAGTTACAAGCAGTGGCGAAGCAACCGTCCAAGCCGGTGGTCAGACCACCGACACAGTGGAGGGTGCCAAGAATCTAAGGGGCCAGACAGGTCGCCACAGTATTCAGAACTAGGCTACATTCAACGCTAGAACGCTATCTATTGAGTTTAGTCTAGCTGTGCAATTTTAGGAATTAGAGGTTGTTAAATAGTATTTATATAGCTCAACGAGAAAAGGTAGACAAAGGAGGCTACACAGCGCTAAAGAACGAACACGACCTACGCTACAATGAATACTTGACAGAAAAATGAACTATGGACGGCGTTTCTTCTACAACGGAATATCGTGGGCAACATAAAAGAATATTATATAATCTGTGAGAGGGTGGCAAGTATTATAAGTATGTTCAATAAAAGGTACAAGATCAAGGTAGTACAGGGCTATGCGCCTACGTCGAGCCATGATAATCATTAGGTTGAAAACTTCTGTTAAGAATAAAGTCCCTTATCATTAAAGGAAAGAGAGTTACTATTCTGATGGCCGACTTCATTGGGAAAGTAGGCGAAAAACAGGCCGGAGACCGTGCGGTGGGGGAGCTTTCAAATGCCAGAAAGCAGTTTTTGGTGGAGTTCACAGAATGTTTTACTTCACGGATATTTCATATCTTCTGAAGAAAACTAGCTAAGCGCAAATAGACGTGGCGAAGTCTTAATGGCGAAACAAAATATGAAATAGACTTCATTATGTGTGCACACACAGACATTGTAAAACAACTAGAAGTAGGTGACTAGATCGATGCAGTGACCATAAAATGGTAAGAGCTCATATTCACCGACATTGAAAGAAGCAAAGACAAAACTGATATGCAAGAGGCTAATTAATGAACCAGCTGTGAGACTAAAAGTACACGAATTGAGAATTTCACTTCCGAATAGATTGAAGACACTAAACTAGGTAACTGACGTTATCTTTGGCAAAATGAACGATAATCTTACTAGTGCCATCATCAGAGTGTGCACACGGTCACCGTGTTGGTATGCCACGAAGCTTCGTCGAAGGTTGCAGCGGCGGCTTTCCGTCATCTGCTGATCTTTTATGCGCAGGCGGGTGAGTTGACGAGCTTCTTAAGCGCGCTGAAGGTAGACGCTGACGTCGAGTTTCTCCCTCAGCGAGATGTGATAGCATGGCGTCGAGCGTTGGTGCTAGGTTCCTGCCGTACACAAGCTTTTCTGGCGTCATCTGCGTAGCCTTCTGCATGGCTGTGTTGTATGCGATTGTCACGTACGGAAAGATGGCATTCCAAGTTTTCATACCATCCTGCAGAGCCTGCGGTAGATTTTGTCCCAGAAACGAAGGCACTGCAAGAAATTATTTGGCTTCAAGAGGTAAAAAGTTCCACTTTTGAAGAAGGCAGTTTCGCAGCGAAAGCGTTAGTAAGTTTTCGTTTGCATACCTTCGGAACAACCGAAGTCCTGCACTCGAGGTACTTGATTAGGCCCCTAAGCTCCGTGTACGCCTCCTGTCGTTGAGCGAAGTCGTCGGCAGTTATTGTTCCGAAGAAACAGTCGTGGTTCAAGTTGTCTGGCGGTGGGGCGTCGACAGAGCTCGAGACAGGCAGTCAGCATCAGACTGTTTTCAGCTAGACTTAATAATGATGGTAATTTTGTATTCTTGAAGTCTCGGGCTCCGTTGCGCAAGGTGGATAGAAGGGTCCATCATTTAGCTAGCCAGCGCAAGGCGTGGTGGTCGCTCACAAATTTGAAGGCTCTGCCGTAGAGGTAAGGACTGAATTTTAACACCACCCAATACATGGTAAAGCACTCCTTTTTTGTTGTGGAATCGTTGCTTTCTGTCTTATACAGTGACCGGCTAGCGTAACCTATTAAGATTTCCAGTCCATCAGTCCTCTGCACAAGAACAGCCCGAGACCTACGCTGCTTGCGGCAGAGCTAACTTCTGTTTCGGCGTTTTTGTCAGAATGGGTAAGTAACACAGGCATCTGCAGGCGTCGTTTTAGTTCCTAAAGTGCTTCTTCCTGTGGCGTTTCGCACTTGAACTCAACGTCGCTACTCGTTAGTTAGTGAGTGACTCGGTAACGCGGGCAAAGTTTTTGACGAACCACCTGGACAGGCGCACCGGCTGGAAAATCGACGCAGGTCTTTGTACCGGTGGGTGGCTAGAATTGAGCAACGGTGGTTGTCTTTTGCGGATCTTGTCTTATTCCATGACAATAGTTAGAGCGCGAGAACAGAACAACGACACAGAGACAAAAAGGACACGAAGGACAAGAGCGCAAACTTTCAACTGAGTTTATTGCGCAGAGAGCGAAAACACATACAGGAGACAGTAAATCACGTGACAAAAACTATGTGGCAGAAAGCGTAATACATGAGTGAGGGCAAAAACAAAAGCACAGAAAAAGGCAAGAAAAAATCTAGAAGAAAACGAAACATAAAAGCAAAAGTAATATAAATGCTTGTGCGCACGGGAACCTTCAAGGAACCTTAGTTCTTTCTCGAACAGAGACACGGAGGACTTGCTAATGCATGACACCTGTTCGCGTTTTCCAAGAACAAAAGAACGTAAACAAATGTTCTTCGTATGCGAAGCGGCGCTTTTCTGGAATCAGGGTGAGTCCGAATGTCTTGAAGGCCTGAAATAGAGCTCCAAGGCGCCGAAAAGGCTCGTCGAAGCTTGAGGTAAACCCGACGACATCATCCAAGTTAACGAGACAAGTTTGCCACTTTAATCCTGCTAGCGCTGTGTCCATAACACGTGAAAAAGTCGCAGATGCTGAGCAAAGATACAAGGGCAAACTTTGAACTAAAAAAGATCGTCTGGTTTTATAAACGCTATTTTCGCTCGGTCCCTCTCGTCGACATTTGTTTGCCAGTATACCCAGTATTGAGGCGCATCGAAGAAAAATGCTTTGTGTTTCAGAATCAATTCAGGACGTCTTCTATTCATGGGAGAGGGCAAACACCTTTTTTGTGATTTAGTTGAGGCGTCACTAAACAACACAGAGAGAGAGAGAGAAAAAGATGCAAGAAAAGGCAGCGAGGTTAACCAGACGCACATCTGGTTTGCTACCGGATGTGCGTCTGGTTAACTGGGGAAGGGTTGTAGGAGAGAAAAGAGGTTGCAGAGATGTAAAAAGGTACACACAATCACGAGCACACTCGGGGGAGCGCACACAGTCTACAGGCAGTCGCTCAGGTTTGTTGACTTTAAGTAAAGTAGGAGTGCTTTAGTCGCTCTCTGCGCAACTGAGGCAGATGCAGAAGGTCCTAGAATCTTGTGCACACAAAGTGGTCTAAGGTCAAGTTGATTCAAAACCATCAGGAGCTGGCATCACTGTGTGTCGTAGCAAGCGCAACTGCACAGAACGTGTTCAATGGTCTCTTCAGCTCCGCAGTAGTCGCATGTAGAGGTGTCTGCTATACCAATGCGAAAGGAGTACACCTTTGTGAATGCAACACCACACCAAAGGTGACATAACAGTGTCGCATCGGAGCGGGAAAGTTGTGATGGTAGCTGTACCTTAAGCAAAGGATCCAGTTCATATAATTGACACCTTTGAAAGCTGGTAG